CTGTCCTCTAGGGGCGCTGTGGGTCGGAATGGACTCCACTGCAGTGGGTGTGGTTTGGGCTTTGCTTCCTTGAAGATTGACAGCCTTGGAGACCCTGTGGACAGTTCCACTCCGTCCTCTAGGGGCGCTGTGGGTCAGAATAGACTCCAGGGCAGTGGGTGTGGTTTTTTTGACACTGTTTATGTTCATTGAGGCTAGCTGGCTATTGATGAGTTTTCTGCTGCATCAAGTTGTCCGGGTGAGGCATTGTTTTCAGGAGGTTAGTATCAGGTGGCATTTTATGGGGAATGTAGCTCAGAAATGACGATGCAGTCACAGTGAACTGCTTACCTTAGAAGAGCTGATTTTGACGCCTTGCACACACTAATTGCATGCTCACCGTGAGCCCCTTTCCTCCTGGGCTGCCCTTCTGCAGGTGGACAGAGCAATGTGGGAGCAGGTGGCCTTGCAGGTAAGGCCGGCAGGCCAGGAGCCACAGGCAGCAGACCTCGTCTCTGCCATCGTTGAAGCAGCTGTGAATTCTCAGTCCCGATTACCACAGTGGGCACCCAGGCCCCTTACCTGTCCCCCCGGCGGGTGCCAGGGCCTCTTACCTGTCCCCAAGACGGGCACCCAGGGCCTTACCTGTCCAGACAGCCAGTGCCCAGGGCCCCTTACCTGTCCCCACAGTGGGCTCCCAGCCCCTTACCTGTCGCTATGGTAGGCACCCAGCACCCCTTACCTGTCCAGACAGTGGGCACGCAGGGCCTTGCAGGCACCCACGGCCCTTAACCTGTCCTGATGGTGAGGGCCTAGGGCCCCTCACCTGTCCCAATGGCGAACACTGAGGGCCCCTCACCTGTCCCAACAGTGAGCACCCCCGGCCGGTTACCTGTTCCCATGGCAGGTGCTCAGGGCCCCTTACCTGTCCCCACAGCAGGTGTCCAGGCTCCTTACTGATTGAACACAGCCTGAATCAGGAGACCTCTGTGCTGGACCCTGGGGACATGGGTGCTGTCCACCTCCTTGCTAGTCTCCTTGGAATACAGGACACTGGGTGGCCCTGTTGTCCTGGGCTGATCCGGGCACATGAGAGGAACACTGTGTGCAAGTCTTGCCCTTGCTGGCCCTTCCCTGGTGTGTGACCCGCTGCTTCAAACAAAAGGCAACGTTACTTTCTACCGTGCAGGTGGAAGCTTGGGGAACATGTTTGCTGGGCAGCGGGAATGCCCTGCACTCACATGGGTGGCGGGAATGCCCTGTGCTCAGGTGTCCAGTGTGACTTGTAGGTAGGACTTGACCATCCTGGTTCTGGTTTCCTGCATGGCTCTAGGCGTCCCTTAGCGGTTTTAGGTCTGAAGCTTTGTTATCCCGACTTGGAGTTCCGTGCTGTCGTTGCTACCTGGAACAGAACCGGGAGACAGAGCAGGGCATGAGCCGCGTTTCCCACGGACTTTGCACGGAAGGCGAAGGGACGGCGCGGCATCATGTGGTGGCTCTCACGATGATGTCCGACTCCAGGGTCTGGTTCCTCCTGATAACGTGTCCGAAGTTACGTGGTAGGACACTGTAGGTGACGCCTCGTGCCTTCACGAAGCCTGCCGGGTTGGTAGGAGAGCAGTAGCTGACTGCCTGCTGTATAGTCCATACCTTCACGAAGCCTGCTTGGCTGGCAGATGTGGTAAATGCCTGCCGTGTAGTGGGTACCTTCTCGAAGCCTGGTTGGCTGGCAGATGTGGTAAATGCCTGCCGTGTAGTGGGTGCCTTCTCGAAGCCTGCTTGGCTGGCAGATGTGGTGAATGCCTGCTGTGTAGGGGGTGCTCAGTGTTGACGAGCGGCCCTGAGCGCCTCGGCCTGGAGGCTCCTCCGGGAAGGTTGCCGCGCGTCAGTGTTGCGCTGCGCATTTCACATTTATGGATCTGCTGGACGCAGACTCGCATCATGTGAATTGGAGCCCATGCTCGGAGGGAGGGCACGTTTTGTTATGTTTGATTTTTTGAAAAATTAAACATGGTAAAATTAGGGCCCACTGGAAGGCTGGCTGGTTTTGCAGGGGAGCGTGCACGCAGTGGGGGGCTGGCTGGTTTTGCAGGGGAGCGTGCACGCAGTGGGGGGCTGACTGGTTTTGCAGGGGAGCGTGCACGTGGTGGGGGGCTGGCTGGTTTTGCAGGGGAGCGTGCACGCGGTGGGGGGCTGGCTGGTTTTGCAGATTAGACATGAGCCGTGTTTACTGTCATGTTGTCCTCCCAGGGTCCATTGTGCTCATGGTATCTGGACTGGCCCAGGCCTCCTGCTGGCTGTTTGCAGTAGTTCTTTTTTTTTTTTTT